CCTTCCTTCCTTCCTTCCTTCCTTCCTAATAATGTGCGATATGAACATTAAGGGCACTTCGGTGCTGAACGGTGCGTTATAGACTAAACTGTCGTAATGAATCCAGACACTGTGTGCAGGACAGAGACAATAGAGTCCACAAACACAGTGCTGTGCCTCTCTTGTCCATGTCCTTCATGCTGTTTGAGGATTATTTACGAATAACCGAGCCCAAGCTACCCTTGTACAATTTTAAGTTGCTGCAACTGCTGGCTTTTCTCTATGGAAGAGCAGTGCAAAACTGGCGGAGAATAACAGCAGCTAAAATTGTACTTTAGCTATCAGCTACATCTACAGCACTGCTTTCGGCTCGTATAGAGGGTAACATGTTGGTATAAAACGCCAGAGTGTGAGCCTCTGCACTGAATTGTTCACATCTACACACAGCACGAAGATTGATATAGGCCGCGTGCAAGCTTGGACAACCCAAAATGAGGAGTCTTTCTTGAGATGCGGTTGCAATTGTTTTGACGGTCAGAAGCGTTGTCTGAACTAGCACAAACACAAACAGCGGCGAATCGGCCGGGTTAGTGTCCGAATAATTTAAGCTATGCGGCAAAATCTTTCTGTTAGCAGTTTCGTCATTCCCACTGCCTGTCGCAGACATATCTTGCACAACATTCTCTTTTCTGTACTACGTATTACCAAGAGCGCGTCTGACCACTTTTGACGTCCAAAACACTTCACGGGGCCATAGTGACAAACAAAGAAAACGCAAGGAATGCGCGTCAATAAGGCTACGCGCGTGATTAAATGTGGCCTATATTCTAAGGCGCAGCACTGAGTGCCACGCCCTGCCATTTAGACATGCGTACTGCAAACTGTGTATGCGAGTAAACAATATTAGAGAGATTAAGTTGAGAAAAAAATGACACGTCACTGCTCAATAGTGGTCACAAGCACACGTGTGAGACAAACCTTCATGTGTGTGCGACGCACCGTCAATATAGTAAAAATTTAACTATAGAAAATGCCTTTCAATTTTATGTCTTAAACAGCTGAAGCCCTAGAAGGTAACAATGGTCTGGAAAAACAACGAGGACAACTGCTAACTTGAGCTAAATTTTTATTGCAAAGCAGCAAGAATAATTTATACCTGTCACATGACATCACAATGAAATAATCAATGTACAAAGATAAACATACTAAGCAGCAGTGAATTTACAAAAACAAATCTTGTGCTGGTGAGCTCAAGTAATCTAGTTCTTTTTTTGTTGGTGCATCTGATGGCTTGCTGATGCAGCTTCGATTTGCAATCGCCACCGCTTCAATGATGAGCCTTACACTCTCGTTAGAGTGAGTAGCCAACACAGCTGTGTTATCAAACACCGGCTTGCACTTGCATTCTGTGCAATGGGTCGCCAGGAAACCATCAGATTTCTTTTTTTTTACTTTCTGGTTATGTTCAGGTAATCGCACATTGAATCATCTGCCTGACTGTCCGGCATAAAGTAGATCACAGGCGCAAGGTACTTCATATACTGCCATCGTCATACATTGAACAAACTTATTCCGGGGCTCAATTTTACACTCGTTATAGGAGGCCTTCTTACAGGATTAGTTCTTGCACATAACTGTGACAACTTATTCTGTGCAAAAAACACCACAGAGATCCCCGCCCTCCGACCAATCTTCTTTAAAATGTGTGACATTTCATGCCACTATGGGATACGTTATACAGCGCTCTCACACCGTATTCCGTGTTATAAAAACAATTATGTTTGTGTAAGTTTGTTATTGTAAAATGCACTCTGTAGCAATTTGTACGATTTTGCCATTAGCCCAGGAAGCGTGTTTGGCGGATGTGGCTAGAGTCGGCTTGAGGCCTAGACGATGCAATATACAACATGGCTGACGTGCGGGTGGCACGGCCATCGAGTCATGGGAGTGACAATATGAAATATTCCACCATAGTTGTTTGAAAGACAGTTTGGCATTTGCTGTGGTAGTGTATCTATCGAGCCCCGAATGAGCCATCACATTCTGTGAGTAGCCCAAGTGCATTCAGCTAAGTGCAGCAGAATCGTTTTTTTGATTTTCTACTCGAGATATCATCGACCTGGTGTAGGCTTTGTTTTAAGAGTGGCTTGCCACAACGATCAAGTTTTACAGCATATTCTGGTTGCGGTGTAACATGTAAAAATTGTTATTGAAATCAAAGTATTTTTTGAAAATAATTCTTAGGGATGCATACATACAATCATAATTTTCATTACAGCTCCTAATCTGGAATTTGATTGCACAACTTGCATGTAATCCTACACTGCTGCAGAGGCCGAAGTGCGGGTGAATACAAAAGCATGCATACACATGTAAACTGGTCTGTGCACAGATCAGTTTTTTTTTTCACAAAAATGTAGGCCATTTAAAAAGAAAGCATCACATTGCTGCGTGCACATGTATATACAGAAAAAGCTACGCATTGCTGTTATCTTTATACTTAAAATATCTCTGGCTTCTTGATGCTAATAATTGTGGGAGTGTAATGTCCCAAAACGAAGCCGTTGTGGAGGGCTCCGGAAATTTCGATCACCTGGGGTCCTTTAAAATGCACCTAAATCAAAGTCCACAACCCAAATGCATTTCCACCTTGATCAAAAATGCAGCCGGCGCGGCCGGGATTCGATTCCGCGACCTTCGGGTTGAACTTGCTTAGGCGTTTATCTTATTAAAAGAATGTTCGCAAATGTTTTATGAATATCCACATTTACTATTTAGGTAGATGTGTCCACTCAATCTTCACTGGATGTCCACTAATAACATTGGATATTCAGACCATTTGTGGGCATCCTCTAAATAATGATGGTTTGCTGGGAATGTCATCGAGAACTAATAGACAATGATGCCGGGAGAAGTATTGGAGATGTAATTAGTTATTGTACCGTAAATGTGGAGAAAATAAAGTGCGTGAAATGATAATTTGCCAACGGTAGAATCCGAACCTTCGACCTTAGAATCTGATGCTTTACCACTGTGATACGGTGGCGGTCATCCTCCAGTCCCCTCATTATGGTATATATGGGCATTTAAACGTGAGAGCATCAGTCAGCGCTGCCTGCTGCCGTTGTGGCGAGTGTGAAACACTCATTTTGCCTGTTGGCGTACCGTTCGTTGCACGCGATATCATTACGAGTCGGCAGCTGACCAGTATTCCTTCGCATACCACCTTAACACATGAAGTCTGCTAGAACGAAACCCTCGCTATGATTGAAGAAAATAAGCGTAAGCTTAAGAGCTTGTTTTATTTCCTGGACACAATATTAATGAGAATTAACAGACAATGGTGACATCCTGTCATCATTGGTGAGTGGGATCCTAAATTCTGGATCCCATTAGAGCGGGCCCCTGTTCTTGCACGTTTAACGAGGGCCTCTTGGATCTTCAGATCCGAGCTGAGCACAGCTGTCACCCACCCTTCCATATTGTGTTGTGTCCTGGATTACGAAGGGGGATTGTGTGGACATTTCCAAACCATACCAAACGAAGGTAGTGAATTTTGGTCGCATAGTGCCCTCTGTGCAGTAGTGTGGCCAACATTGTCTATGCAGTTTTTGTCACTACTAAGAGATGGCGACACATGCTCTGAAATTGCTCTTCACGCAACGTGTGTACGGTTTTGTGGTTCTGTTTGGTAATCGGCAAGTTGATGATTTTGTGTGAACTAGAGAGGCTGTCTTTTTTTTTGTCTGAAATAATAAATATAGTTTTCAGGATGATGGGAATAGTCTAATGGGAAAGAGAATGAAGTTCATCAGCACATCTAGGCGCGGTAAAGCAACGTCGTCAAGAATAGGTACGTGGGCTTGGCGGTGTCGCATGAAGCCATTTGCTTCGTGGGAACACGAAACACTAGATACATCAAATGGATGACAATGCTGTTACACCACGACGTAAAGCAGGCTTGCTCAATGTGCCTCCTCACTGAGCTAGGTTTATTTTGTGCATGCGTCATAATCGCGCGACATCTGTAATCTGTAGATAGGGCTTGAAGGACCAAGACTCTCCTCCAAGCAAACTCAGGCAAGATAACCGAACTCGAAAGTAACAAATATTGGAATTTTTGACAACCACATTAAAAGAATATCACTCATGTTTATTATTCCACTGGAGCCAAAGGCTAAACAGAAAGTTGTGTTACTAAAGATTATTAAGGATAACGTCGTACGGAATAAGGCATTTCCACGTAGTTTGTTCCAAAGAACAAAATTATGCTTGATGTGAGAAGGAAATGAGTGACATCTTCCCAAATGTCACGGTATTTTTTTGACAGTCACTCAGCACACACCTAGTTGAATGAGAACGAGAGAACATGAACCTTCTTAATATCTGCCCTCGATAATTCATGCTCGCACGACGGAGGGCTAGGGGTCTCACACCCCTGAATCGAATACCCATCAGTATTCCCACCGAAGGCGGACGTAACATTCCACAGGTTTATTCTGCCAAGATCTTGGGTGTTTTGGTCGGTGCCAAAGCAAGTAATCCCAGGTGAAAATTTCCTGTTGGTTTTCTGTTGGTTCCAGTATTGATGGTTTATTAGCACATTCCCCGTAGTTGATGGGACCAGTAGGTGATGGGACCAGTAGGTGATGGGACCAGTAGGTATTGGAACCAGTAGCTGATGGAACCAGTAGGTAATGGAACCAGTAGCTGATGGAACCAGTCACTGAAACCAGTATCCGAAACCAGCAGCTACTGGTTTCAGCTCAGGGTTGCATACATGCAACAAAATTGTTACTCACCGAGATGGAGGACGCCCCCAATCAACAAGGTGGTGCCCAAACGAACTCAAATGCATGTTTCTGCCCAATTTAGCAACTTTAGGGTTACAAGCACATAACTTTTATGGCTATCCAGATGGAATTGTGCCATTCGATTAGTAAGTCAGTGCTTATTGTAACTTGCACGTTCTACATTCCTGTGCCAAGTTAACAGCATGCATTGGGCGTTAAACAAACAGCCTTAGTGTTTAAGAATTTATTGTGCTTGATCGCCAAACATCTGCTTGCGCACTTTCGATTTCAGGAGATCTTGGATCTTCTCAGCCAGGATCCTGGGCAGATTTTTTTCCGTGTCAGCAGTGTTGACGTCTTTCTGCTGTCCCCAGTGCTTGAGTGTTTCTACAAACAGACGAGTCGATTTTGAGCATTAGACAACAAAAAGTAGTGATTGCGGCAACGACAACTGCCACACCATAGAGGCAGAGCTTGGGTTTGAGCACTAAAGCTCCGACATCACTGGATTAGGAATGTGCATGACTTAGTTTCACAAGCTCCACAAAACCCAAGTTGTCCTGTTCGGCAGCTGATGGCAGTTAAATTTGGTGCACAGTTTCATGTGCAACAGATTGTCAGTTGAGCATAGGAGCCTACCATGCACCCCATCAAATTTAACCCAAACTCAGAGATATCTTTCCATATTTCCAGTACAAAGTGCAACTTCTGTTCACCCTATATACCAAAATTTTGTTTTGACAACTCGCAAAGCAAACAGCATGAATTTCACTCTTTCATTTTCGTTCATGCTGCCAGGCTGTGTAAAGATGACTTCCTGCATGCGCTGTGGAAAACTATTCATGCTAGTTGTACCTGACACAACAAGAAGTTTCTCCGGTGTCAGCGGCTGCTTGGGCTGCTCCCCCAATGCTCTCTTCCTGGAGCCAACGGTCCCTGTGACGCTCCTAGATGCAAGAACGTTGCTTCCCCATATAGCGTGGGCAGCATCCTTCACCACCAAGGTAGCCTTCTTGTTCCCAAATATTTTTTTTTGCACACACACCACTTATTGTTACGCCTTTCGTCAAATGGAACTGTGAAAAAGCAAAATAATGGAGGAAAATCACTACTGTAAGGAGCAATGAAACAAAAAATGCTGCATGTTACTTCTGCTAAACATACAACAAAACTAACAAATTGTTTAACCAATGCACCTGGCACAACACAACGATGTAGCACATGAATAGTATGTACAGTCTATCACACTTGTCTATGGTGCACAAGTGGTGTGCTGCAAATCAAATGCAGTAAAATGTTATTGGTTACTCTGTTAGAGACAATGCTTTTGAGCCTGTGCGGTTCATCTAGTATATTCAACTGCACATGAATGCAAGAAGTATCAGTGAAATTGAGTATCTGCTTTAGAATTTTGCCATATTTCATCCACACAGCACTGCTCAGGTGCTCAAGACAGGTGTGATCAGCACTGTACACCTTGCTATTGCTGATAATAAAAAAGAAAAACTGTGTGCTGGTCCCAACGGTATTCATACTTCTCTCAAAAAGTACACTGAGTAAAACTGAAGACTTGAGCATGCTAAAAAAATAAAAATGGTAAACATGCTGCAAGCAAGAAGCTTTAAGAAAGCTTTCGTAATTAACTATACCACCTAGATCTATAGAGTAGCTGTGACTACCAATAGAAAAAAAAACGGTTAAGCATGAAAAGCAGCTGCAGACAGTGACATTAAATTTCGAGCAAATTACTTACAGAGCCATCTTCCATATAAATGAAATCTCCATTTGGGCCTGCAAGAAAGATATCAGGTCCTTGTCATGGCACAAAAAAAAAAAAATTATTGTCAGAATATCTGAGGTGACATCTGAGCTGACCTGGATGTGTAGTGTTCTTTTCTCCACCAACAGTGCTTGTCCTTTCCTCTGGTTCTACAGCAGTAGATGAGCACGGTGCTACGCAACATTTAGAATTATTCAAAAATGGCTTATCTTGGTGCACAACTTGCTCTAATTGAAACAAAGTTTACTGTCTATGAAACCAGAGCTGTTACTTACGGAGAACACGTTCACTGCAGGCCATGTTGTCCATAATCAACAGATCTAAAGTTACAAAGATATAGTGACAGTAACTGTCACTCCAGTTTTGAAATGCAGGGAAGTATTATAAAAGAAGCAAAGTACTCACTTCCGACGAAGCTTTCTCCTTCATCTGTCTCAGAATGTGCTGTAATAAAAATGATTCAGGTGTAAAAGTTTAGATTTCAACCCCTCAAGCCTGTTAAATCTGGATGCTTTTGTTTAAAGCTTCATGCTAGTCAGAGCGTGCCTTAGAGCATTACTGGCTGCTTCTAAAAGCTACGATGAGGTGCACATCTCCAAGTCAATTCACTTCGGACTTTCAAACCAAAAATCACAATGTAACATAGCGATAAACCATACCAAGGAAAAATTTTGTTCGTTCGAGGTTTTCTCGATTGGCTACTCTGTTTTACAGTTCAAACTTTACTTTCATCTATCCACCTCCACTTTCAAAGAACCAACATCATTTCATTATCATGGCACTAGCATCTTCTATATTACATACTGACTGAAGCTGCCATCTTACTGCAGAACAGCTGAACTTACACTCCAAAGTTAATTCATGCTGTGTTTGGCGGGCACTTTTTCAAAACAAATAAAAAGTGCAGCACTCTTTGAACTCGTTCGGCAAGTTCATCAAGTAAAGCCAAATCTCTATAACCTTTACTTTGCACATACTACTGAGCGAGTTGCTTAGACAAAATATGAATAAATAAATAATAAAAAAGCTGACTTCATTAAACAGGTCAAAGTATGCTATATTACTGTCCCAGTGAAATATGGAACTGATGCATTTACTCAAGAGCATAGGTGTATGCAGTTCTTATGGGGAAACAAACCTGACAACATGCCCCGACTGCAAGGCACCCGGTCTTGTTCTACTGCAACTGCATGTACACAAAAAAAGGGTGCACAAGTTTTTATGTAGCACATGAGTTGTCATGTAATCATTATACATGGAGCTTTTGTCAAGTAAATAATGCAGAGCAAAAAGCATTCTTACGCTTGAAAAGCTTGCTTTCAAGGGATCTCTGCAGGCTTGCAACCTGCTGCTTTAGAAACTGGTTGTCGTGCTGCAGCTCCTCAGCACGCAATTTCCACATGTCTCTGTCCTTCTCAAGCTCTTTAACCACCAGCGCCTTCGTTCTCGCCTTCCACACGTCTTTCTTCTTCTTCATTTGAAGAATTTCACTTTTTGGGCACAATTCATCACTATCGGAGGACCCGCTGTCCGACGGAGTGTCTGTCCCTTTCCTTGGCTGAAATTTCATCATGCAAAAAATGACTTCATGAATTCACTAGGATGGCTTGGTGGGCTAGTTGGTATTGCATCTTGAAGGCTACTGTGCACAATAGACAGGAACAACAGAAGCAACACAAGTATCGGCGCTTCACTTTGTGCTTTCTTCTGTTGTCCCTGTCTATTTATTGTGCCCTAGCTGTAGCCTTCAAGGGTCTCATGAGGGTTTTGCTTTCAGTAAAAAAAAATGCTTCTTTTATAGTACAGTGCACTAATGAAGACCATGGCACACTTACCTGTGCTCTAGGTTTACGCCCAGAGTGCGCTTTTTCCAGATTCTTTTTAAGAATTTCGTCATACATGTTTTTTTTAGCATTTGCTCTGTCGTTCTTTTGTTTCTGAAAGAAGTCGAAAGCACAATTACAGATGATGATCAATGCAAGACCAGCAAGTTTTCAGCCGTTTCAAAATGTAGGCAGCATAAATAGCAACCTTTCTTTCAGCCTTTTTTCTTTTTGTTTGGGACTCCACGATCAGCTCATCAGGATCATCATCTGACGTTTCTTGCATAGGTATTTTTGGTATCACCAACCTCTTGGCCCGCATTTTCTCGCGGGCGTCATCTTCGCTTTCTGTAAGAAATTACGACTATAAAATTGGAACCGTAACATTTCACATACCACACATACCTGCCAGCATCAAGACTTGCGTGTTGTACAAACCAGTGTTTGTGTCATCCACGGGGTCTCGCCAGTACGCGCTGTAAACAAAGCGGTTGTCGTAGTCGCTGGTGTCTTTGGGATCAAACTTCTCGATGTCATGCACGTGAATGACGTGTAACCGTTTGTCGTGATCGTCCAGGAAACGAACATCAGCGTACATGGTAGTACTGATGATTTAACAAAGCCTTAAATGGCATCACACACACACCAATCTCTGAAAAAAATGTAGCAGTCGCGTGTCGCGCACGTGTCGTGTCCATTAAAAATAACACCATAACAACTCCTAGCGGCAAGACTGGGCAATACCAATAACTGCGTGCGGAACAAAATAAATAAATAAATACACCTATAAACAAATAAAAAATGCTTTAAATAAGCTTATAAACAGGTGTAAAAACTGTTCATGTTATAAACAATGTATAAACTTACTAAGATATAATTAAATAGATATGTGTTTTTGAAATCCGGGTTGCAATCCAACTAATTCAACGCCGTACAAGCCAATCCAAGTCGTTTGATTGTGTGAGATCATGGAGAATGTGCGAGTCCGAGCGAACTATGAGCGAACTGTCGTGATTGTGCGCGTGAACACAACGTGTGGCTTCATTACTTAGAAGGTTTTCGGTGAGTTTGCAGTGCGATATTTGCGTGGATCCGCACTGAGGGAGTATGCCTCGTAGAAAGGAATACCTAAACCCAGGCAGCGCCTCCGCCATCCCGTATTCAACGAAAACATATCTCGAAAGATCAGCCTCGAGCGTGCAACAATCACGTCGTGGACTGCAGCAGGACACAAATGTCGCTGGCGGGTCGACTGCTCCGACAGCACTTCGCGTACTGACGCAACCTCCGCAGACTGATGTTGAAGGCGACTGTGACTCTGAATCGGCACATGAAGCGGCCCCAAGTGACGAGCCGCAGCCTTCCGTTGGCGCAGAAATGACAGACGAGCCACAGGGAGATTTAGGGAGCTTCTCTAGTGACGATTTGCTGGCACTGACTGTCAATTTTGTCCTCGAATTTGGCATCCCTTGGAAGGGAGTCGAAGCACTCCAAAAGTTGATAATGCACATACTTGAACGACATGATATACCAGTTACTAAATATCTTTTCAAGAAGAGTGTCGGGGCAGAAATAAAAGCCGCCCGGTTACACTTCTACTGTGAAAACTGTATGACGCTCCTTGCCGTAACAAGTGGCGACCTTGCAGCGCGGAATGCAGTGCGGGTAACGTGCACCGTATGCGGGCAACGTAACAGTGGGCCGCAGATGCTACGCGATGGCCACTTTTTCATAACCCTGCCCATCGCAAAGTTGCTGTCTTCGTTACTTGCCGAGAATGATGCGAGCACTGCACTCCACGAAAGACTGAATTCAATAAACGAGAGTATGTCTGTCGACAAAGATGAAATGACAGACATAATAGATGGCACCTTATACAGGGCACTTAGGCGCGAATTGACATCAAAAAATGATATCACTCTCACTGTTAACAGTGATGGAAGCGCCGTGTTCAAGTCATCGAAGTTTTCTGTGTGGCCCGTTCAAGTGATGGTGAATGAACTCCCAGTGTACATGAGGCAGAAAAATGTGCTTGTGTCTGCTCTGTGGTATGGCCAGAAACATCCCGACATGACTCTCCTACTGAACGCATTTGTTGAACAAATGGACGGTTTGTCGACCAGTGGGATCACATGGAAGGCAGGCAACGAAACTGTGCATTCCAAGGTAATTTTTTTTTAATTATTAAAGCTGCTTGAACAACACGACTTCAAGACATTCTAGTTGTAAATGCTGCACTGAGCTACAATGCATAGACGAGGCTACATTGTTGTGCCAGCTAATTTCTTCCAGTCATGATGAAATCCAGGCCACTTGGGCATAATGACACCATGGAGGATGGCACACTAGTTCATCTTTGTGTGTATTCTTTTCTAGTGCGACTTTATCTCTAAATACTGTCAATTATCTAAGTGTCAAAGTGGTATTTACTGCATTGTGTTTACTGTAACTGTTACAACTTACGGAGATCATGTCCCTTTATGCAAAAGCATGAAAAGTGCTTCTTCTGAATGGATTGTTATCAATTGAAAACTGTTAATAACATCACCCGATCTTTTCCTTGTCCTCAATGTCTACTGCAATAATTGACTTGTGTCTGGCAAAGAAAACAAGCCCTCTATCCATTTCCTTTTTGTTGTACTTCATTGCAGAGGGTAGTTAGGGCTAACAGCTTCCTTTTTTGTCCTTGCTCATGCAGGTGTACTGCTTCAGCTGCAGCGCTGATGCACCAGCACGGGCAGCCATGCAGCACCTAACCCAGTTTAATGGGTATTATGGCTGTGGATGGTGCTTGCATCCAGGGGCAGCTGTGAATGGTTAGTAAAGATGTCGCATTACTGCATAACATGGAGTCAGATTTCTGACTAGATATGTTGATCAGAGTTTCTCTCTTTTTTAGCAATTTTTATGTAAACATTCACCTTGTTTAATGTATCTGGGGTTGCCATTTCTCATCTCAGAGGCAAAAATGTGCTTTATGTCGTAGCGATTCTATGTTTCCAAATTCTGGCACATAGTATGTTTTTCTAAATGTGTTCTAGAAGTAAATTCTCAGAAATATCACTGAAAACAAGTGTGCCATTTACAATCAAGCTTAGCTGTGCGAGATTTTACAAACTTCTAAATTTGTGAGGTTCTCTGTTTTTTTTTCTTACTATTGCCAAACAGGAACTGTCAAGTATCCTGTGGACACTGTTTCACCTGACAGGACAGCAGAAGGCACAAAGGAAATCATGGCCAAGGCTGCTGAAGCTGGAAGACCAGTACAGGGAGCAAAAGGCATCACGCCTTTGATTAATCTTCAGCACTTTAATATAATCTGGGGCTTTACTCCAGATTATATGCATTGTGTGCTTCTAGGTGTGGCACGGCAGATGACGGAGGACTGGCTCTCTAATGTAGGCGAGGAATATTACATTGGGGCACCACAAACTGTGGCAGTATTAGATCAACGTTTGTGCTCTATAAAGCCGCATAGCTGTATGCCACGACTTCCCCGCTCAGTTTCTCTGAGAAAGTATTGGAAAGCCTCGGAGTGGCAGCAATGGCTACTGTATTTTTCATTGCCTTGTCTGGAAGGCCTACTTCCACGGCAGTATCTTAAACATTTTGCATTGCTTGTGAAAGGTATTGCCCTTCTTCTGCAGGACACAGTGTCCCTCAGTGACATTTCTGTAAGCACAGACTGCTTGGTAAAGTTTGTTGTCGACATGCAGTTTCTCTATGGAGAAAAAAACATGACTTTCAATGTACATCAATTGTTGCACATGGCTCAGAGTGTTCTGAACCAAGGACCTCTTTGGGCACATTCATGTTTTGCTTTTGAGTCTAACATTGGCCAAATTAAGCAGCTGGTCACATCAGCAAAAGGTGCCCCACTGCAGATTGTAGAGCGCTTAATGATGGCCAGCAACTTCAGGTATCTAAAGGCTTCAGCTAGCCCTTGCACTCTGAAGTTTTTGACAAAAGCTGGCCCATCAAATAGTAAAGGTGGTTTACTGCTCAGCAAACCCCGAGCTGTGTCTGACCAGCTGCTTCACCTTGTGCAGGACCATGTTGGCAACATCGTTAGGGGCCGTGTCATGGAACATGACCGAGTGATTGTATCACCGGGTGTTCGGTTTCACAGTGAGCAGTACTCAAGGCCGAACAAAAGTGACAGCACTGTATTGCAAATATATTTGGGAACGTGCTTGAAGTTGAAGCACATTGTTTCTATTAGGGATTCGTCAGGAAATGTAAGGATTTTTGCACTGTCAAACAAATTCTTGTCACGTCGTGCATTTGGCACTGAGCACATAATGAAATCAGAGGATGCGAATTCCCAACAGCTAGTGGAGCTGTCTGCCAGTGTTGTCCCTTGCAACTATGTAGAGGTCAATAGAAAGTGTTTTTTTCAGAGAATTTCTTTGAAAATGCTCTCTGGTGGTTGTTAAAGGGACGCTTAAGAGCAACATTGAATTAGTTTCATCATTCTATAAAAAGGTCTCATCATATAAAAATCGCACCAATACCTTCTTATACCTACTTTTTGTACTTTTTGTCAGAAACACTTCACATCTGTAAAATTAGTTTTTTTTGTTCCTTGTGTGTTGTGGCTTTATTAATAATTCACTGCTGTCAGTGCGCATGTGCATGTGCACATTAGGTGGACATTTTAGGCATTCAAGCATCAGTTGCAGTTCAGTCCTTGCGTTAGCGTCAATTTATGTGTGCGTGTTTGCGTCCCTATGTGCAATGCTTCATAAAACATCATGGCTCACCAACTTGCCCATCAGTTCATAGTAATATAAATTTTACTCGGAGAATTTTAATATCGATGATTTCACCATAACAGGTTTCTTAATAGAAGAGAAAATCAAGTTCAAAGTATCATTTTAAAATTTCGAGTGGAAATCTCCACGTATGAATCTCCACGGAAATCTCCACAAATGACGTCACGGATTTCGAAGTCTATTTATCGTGTTTTGGTGTCGTTGTTCAACGAAATTTTCTCAGGCTTGGTATGTTAAATCTATTGGCCCCTTAGAGCTTGAGGCACTTCACTTTTACTGTTTAGGAACTATGTAGGCCTTAGTAGGCGGAGTCAAAATAAGTGACGTCACGGCAAATGGTGCGGGAATTTCATGGTGGTGTCGCCACGACATTTTCTTTTGTGCATTTTTTCACATATCGAGCTTCTCGCTGCAAACAACGTTTCTTTGGTATCCAGGGGTGCAACAGCTGCGCCAACTGTGCCAATTTGATACAATTCCCAATTGTTGCGCTGAGCTGCGCCAGAACCATTAAATTTGCTGGAATTGCACCACCCTGCGCCAAAATGCCCAGCCAGCCTCAAAATTTTCACAGGTGCGCTAATTTCGGTGAGAAATGCTAGCCACGTCGGCCACCTACAGTTTGCGCCATCAGTCAAAGCGTGCGAACTTTAACCAGCCCTACGCTCGCGAGACGCCATTGACCAGATAAAGTAACAATGCTTCGTGCCAATCGGTCCGCTGAGTGCAGCGGATACCGATCGGCGGGATGACAAAACTTCCAAGACAAAAATGCATTGCTGTAGCCCCCAACGCTTCGCGGGATATGTAAATTTCCTAGCCTGAAAATGCTGCTATAGCTTATTAGCACCTAAAGCTGGAAGCGTGTGCCCCGTTTTTCTCGCGCGAACAAGCTCGACGTGCGGCGAACGCCGGCGTTGCCAGCGACCACGTTGATTGCAGTAGCACATAAAACTTTTTTTTGTGTGTGTCTTGAAGTTGCGTCATCCCGGCCACTGTCCTGGTGATATACACTCAGTACCGTCACTGGGCCAATGGGTGCACGCCGTTGTTACTTTACCACTCAAACGTGCCTTGCAAGGGAGCTGAAGTGGTATATAACCCTACGGTGAAAGAAAAGAAAGTGGGAAGTTTATGGAAGGGGGGTGGGGGTGAAGTGGTAAGAAAATTTTTTGGCTTGGAATTCTCACTCGTGCACAGAATGCTGCTTAAGCCACCTTTGTCGCACTACACCAGTTGCCTACTGAAAAGCCTATTGAGATTTTGAAGGGGCCGTCAGCGCTAGTGATGGGACACTGCATATTTTGTTCAGTTATGTGTTTGCCGCATAAATATGAGTACCAGTATAATAACTCGTGCATAAATAAGCTATTGGCAATCGTTTGGAGTAATGTATGACATTTCTGCTTCCCTAAAAAAAAGTAAATTGTGGGTCAGTTTTTTTTTTCCCCACCCCTACCTCTTGGTTTACAAATCTTCCAAATTTTGAGGTCGTGAGCTTAGCAGATCTATATTTAAATTCTCAGAGTCTCTTGAATGATTTGACAGGTGCAGCAAATGTTAATATAAACTTAATCATTGTTTGCTCGTGGGGTGGTTCAAATACCACTTTCATTGAAATAGCAGTGCTCATGTTCACACTGCACGATTTAGGTGATGTCAAATGCTTTATATATACATTTTTTTTCTAAATGTCTGTCTTGTTTATACTGCTCCAAATTTGGTATTTCATGATGAAAAATGCATGTTTTTTCCCTGCAACCTGCTCAAAATTTAGATGTCAGTGCTCCAAAAAGTAACATTTTGCTGCTTCAAAAATTGCTCCAAATTGTATTTTGGCTGTTCCACCACTGGGTGTCCTGTAACAGTAGTTTACTAATACGAGAAAAATAACTATTTAGTGTCCCTTTAGCTGCATAGTGTAAGTAACTGTACTGTGGATGTAGTCTTCATTTCCCCTTTCTCTGTTTTATATGTGACCCCAATGGGGGTCACTGGGGCTGACAAGGGTGATGTGCACCTAAATCAAGGCCCGTCCTCTATATAGCATGTTTTTGGTCGGCAGTCAATCACTATAACCACTGTGGTGGTGTCGCTAGTTCCCCATTGTTGCCACTCTGCAGAGTTGCTCCTTTAGGACTGAGTGTTTTCTTATGCTTGCGTCTGCTCATTTCTTGTAACATTATGATAGCTACATATGCATCATTGCATTTGTTGTTGTGTAGATCAGTAGTTTAGTCAAATTAAGGGTGGTTGACATATTCACAAGATTGCAGGTATGCTTATTTCTTTTGCTTCAGCTGTAGAAACCCAACCACAACTAAAATACGAAATAGCACCAAAAATGATTATGTTAAATTGTTCTGCATTTTACCAAGCATTCAATTTGCCAACCTGTGAAAGCAAAAACTGCACTTTTATTCTCCAATGTTGCTTCAGTGGAAGTGAATTCCAATCCAATGAGTGTGCAGTTTGCACTATAACTGTAAAAGTGAGCGCAACACATTTTCTTTTACCAAGAAAATGTGATCTCAAGCCACCTTCTAAATTACAATGATATGAGTAGAAACCTCAGATGTGTACACCGCATTGTCATTGCATGTCAAGCTGTTAAATGAATGGGCTGTTAAAAAGAACCTCCACATGTCAGTGAACTGCAGGTGTAGATGTTTGTGGATTGTGCAGTGAAACAGTTGTTTTTAGAGGAAGTGAGAAATGCCATTTTCAATTGATTTAGCTATTGCCAATTTGTGCAAATTCATGCTGTATACTGTCGAGTGCCTCTTGAATTACTAATAAACTTCATGATTGTGAGTATTGACAATTCTCATTGTTTAAGCCCAGCTTTAGCCCTGTCTCTGGGTGTAAACATTTTGTATTATAAAAAAAAGAAGAGAAAGTGTGCGCTGTTGTACAGTACAAGGTTTAATGTGCACTGGGTTGGTCAAATGTTCCCAGGCAGTGCTGTCATAAGATTACAAGCGTAGCAGCCTGGGAACGTTTGAGCACCCCTTTATATTTGAACACACCTTGTGTGTTCAGGGTGCATGCAACTCTTCAAAATTCCTCCCTTTTTTCTCTGTATCCTTTGTACATGTATGTTTCCAAATTAAATAACAATAAAACCATTGAAATAAAAAAGAACATATTCGAAGCCTAAAAGTCTAGGAATTTGTCTATGAGCTGCTTCTTTGTGCTTAGGCAGCAGTGTAGATTCACCAAACTTCATTTCAGCACCAATATGCTTTGTTCTTCAGGGCATTAAAAATATGAAACACTGTTAATGAAGCGATAGACACCTACTGTGGCTTAGGTGCTGGCTCCCTTCTGGTGTTGCACTGTTTTCTTCACGACATTTTTTATTGTTCATTTCCCCACCTGTACGTCAACCTTGTCGTACATTGTCTCTTTCTCGACTTATCTCTCTGCTTCACTATGTCTCGTGCATTTATGCCACAAAATTGGTTTCCCCATCATGTGAGCAGCATGTTAAGTTAGTATACTCCAACGAAGCAAAGCCTAGTTTATGCTTAAAAAGTCTCCGCAGCTAATCTGAACATTTTTTGTGTGTAGTGAACTACTTCTTGTGGAATAAAGGCTTCACTATCACAAGCACTATGTTCATTATAATATAAACTTATTAGAACTAGTCAGAATGTTGAAATGCAGAGCACCCACAAAAATATTCTTTGGATATCTTCTTTAGTCCTTCGAAAACCCAAGACACTGCCTTGAATTCCCTTGACTTTTGTTTTTTGAAACCTGTATAAACAGTCTCTACGTCATATTTCTCTATACTACATCTTAATTGCTCAATGTATTGGCACACCACTTTCAAGTACAGTAAAGTCTTAGTTATAATCAGAAGATACAAGCCTCATGATTGAATGTTTCGGCTAGTTAGAGTTCTCAGGAAACCACGAAGTGGACCACCACTATAATCAGTTCAAGCAGCTGAGAACCGTCCGGTATTGCCTAATGGTCCCAGCAGCATCCCAGGGTGAAACCAGTAGCCTGCTTGAACCAGTACAGAAAACCAGCAAGCATCCTGCTGGTACCAGTAGAGCCAGCAGACAGGGTACTGGTCCCAGTAAAGAACCAGTAGGCACCCCACTGGAACCAGCAGAAAACCAGTAGGCACACTGCTGGAACCAGTACAACCAGCAGGTAGCTTGCTGGGACCATCAGCAAACCAGTAAGAACCAGTAGGCACTTTGCTGGAACCAGCAGAAAACCAGTAGGCACCCTGCTGGAACCAGTACAACCAGCAAGAAACCAGCAGATTAACTGCTGGTTCCATCAAAAACCAACAACTCCCAACAGAAAACCAGCAGGAAATTTTCACCTGGGATGCCAGGGCCATAGCTCATCTAACCACAAAGGAAGAAAACATAATTAGGCTAACCATTACAGTTTGGGTAGGATAGGCGCAATAGTGGAGGACATAGGGTTCATCATGCTTTTTTTAGGACCCACGTGAACTACATAGTATCGGATCTTTATTGGACAAACCCCAATAAGAACAAGGTAGAGACGCTTATGCGCAATAGTATCAAGAAAGTGCTCGGTATCCCAGTTACAACGAGTACGGAGATCCTTTCAAAGTTAGGGTTCCATATTATCATGTATGAGCTAGCAGAAGCACAAAGAATCACACAAATTACCAGATTATACAGTAGCAAAGCAGGAAAGGACCTCCTAAGCGCCGCAGGTCGGGAACATAGCACTAACAAAGGAGAGGCGATTCAGTTGGACAATGAAATCAGGAAATACTTCAATGTTGGCCCGTGGACAAAAAAAAACATGAATTCGCAATGAAATAAGCGTCGACGGCTTACGAGGGCAAGATTTCCCCCAAAATCCAATGTGTGCATAGGCATTCGTAGAGGCTGCCCATCACGAAAATGTTGGTAGACTTTAGTCGCTAAAGTCGACCATAATGGAGACTTCCTCTCGTTCACCTCACTTTGTACCCCAATAGTAGAAGTAGCTGAACACGTAGCGGTGTCTATGGCGCTACTAGATCCCAAACACACCATCATTTACACTCACTATCGAGCTACCGTAAATGCCTTTCAGTCGGATCTGGTCTCAAGAGAGGCCGCTAGGGTCTATAAAGGCAGGTTCCTGCAAGACAAACTTTACTACATCATCTGGTTCCTGGCTCACTTAGGTCCGGATTTAATACCGGGCCGCCCGAACCCTAATGAGATCGCTCATAATCAATCGCGAGGATTGATATGCCGCGGCGATCAGGAGCGCTCGATTGATTCGTCACAGCTCGATGTGGGTGATACGCTCGTCACCTTCCACCAGTTTACCTAGAACTAACGGGACTTTAGACCAGTCGCCTTTGCGAGCTGGTCACTTAACGACGCCGAGCGTAACTATAGCGTCACTGAAAGGGAATGTGTATCATATAATTTTTGTGTTCCGGAAGTTCGACTGTTGATGGCGTGGCATTCGTGGTGGGAACGGACCACATGAAACTGACCTGGCTTTTGCGCTTGCGCGAGTCCTCGGGCCACCTCGCTCGCTTGGCGTTCAGGTTGCAGAGGTAAAACGTCGTTAGACAGTACTAGAATGTCTGTGTGGAGCGATCAGCACACTCCCCCCTTGCTTGCAGCTGTCCAAGCTTGCGATAAAAGTAGCGGTGGCGCTGTCATCAAACAGTCTTCCAGTTTGATATCTTGGTTTGCTCTGCCTGGCTGTGTGGCATGGCCAGCATCGCACTATTGCTCGCAAGATGACAAACGACACAAAGTCTAAACCATTTTCACGCACCAGGTTGCACAACGGGATATCCGCGCGTGCAAACAAAGTCGCTAGTTATTCCTTTTAGGGCCCCGGAAGAGGGAGATGTGTGTAAGTGATTCTTAAAAGAGAGAAACGAAGACAAGAGTGAGCGCCGTAACTGTCTGCATCATAGTGCGACACCTCAACAGTGGCTCACGAGGGATGGGGGTAAGGAAGAATTAGAAGCATAGGGAGGATTAAAAGGGATAGAGTTAAAGATAGGGGTAGGTACAGAGAGACCCACATACAGAAGTAAGGAGAAGATAGGAAAGATGGACACGGTCGCAGGAGTCCGAGGATGGGGAAACACTCAGCGAGAGCTTCACGGCGCCAGGAGATGGCGGAGGGTGAACCGGTCGGCCAGGGCTGCGCTGTCGTCGGAGATCGCGGGGGCGCAACTGGTCGGCACGAAATCCAGCGAGCGAGTCCCAGGAAGATCGACAACTTCTTTGGGAGCGGAACCTCTATCGACTTGACAGGCCGCCTGACGCCCATGGTGGTGTGTGCGAGTTACATTTCGAACACCATTTTATTGTGAGAGACTATGTCCCTATTATCTACGGGGTTGAAGTCGGAATTCTCAGGGAAATCCTGACACTTGCCTCTTATGTAGTCCTGATGACCTTGCCCAACCTGCCTGCATATTTGACGCTGAAAACTCCGGCTCCACCGACTCAAACAAAGTGGTGGCATCAGATTGTGCCTGCTAAGGACGACCAAAGAAAATGGCGCCGTAGTAGCAGTCTTTCTGCAGAGTTGTTTGTGAATAGAAGCTGTGCAACTTGTGCAGCTGAATAGGCAAGCTCAAGTTCTTCACCTGATGCGGGTGTTACTCTCAATTGCCGTTGTTACTTGTCATGCCATCTACGTTTTTGTCAGATTTGTAAATCACTCCTTCACAATTCCGAAATCCCCAACCTAAGCACCCCGAAATCCCATATTTTGTCGGCGTCTACTAGGTCTTATGAAGTTTTTAATCGGTAAATATCAAGTACATTAACCTCTACGGGTGCCATAGACGACAGAGCAAGCTGAAATTTTGCTGAGTATGCAATGACATCACAATGAATGGGTTGCACGTGACGTCATTTCTGGTGAGCAACGTGAGCGACCGCGATGTTTGTCAACATTAGGTCAGGCTACAGCCAGGCTGCGCGTACAGCTTAACACCGCGTCGGAGTTTGTCGGTGTCGTTCGAGCGATCTGGTGAATGAAAACGTGGACGCGCTTTGCCTGTCGTACTTATAAGAGCTTGTGGGGTCGACTAGTGTACGTTACCATGCAAAAATTGAAATGTACGATGGCCTTGACTTGTACGAACTGCCCGTCGGTAAGGATGTTACAGCGAGCGTCGATATGCCACCTTTGTTGACACACGGTGACATTGTGAACAATTTGGCCGTTCTGACAAGTCAATTCACGCTGCAATAAATGAAAGTGTCCAAGTCGCTGGACGGCCGCAACTACTTCACGGCGAATGGGCGAAGAGCATAGCAGCGAAGCAGCCTCAATCACAGCGTGTCGTCGTTCTAAGCAAAGTTAGTTACGAGGCTCTGTCCCGTTATACGATCCTTCACAAGACGCATGGGATATGACAGGATGTACTGCCGATGGTTCATCACACTCTGGTTCTTCGTCTCTGGCAGGCGGGCAGTTATACCGATGTTGCAGACTCCATGAACAGCGCGCCCACTGCAACATCACCCAACGTGTTCGTCTGTCGCTCTTTGGAACGGTGAAAACGCGCACATGCTTCGGTAGTAGTCCGGTCATAACGGCCGTGACTCAGCAGTAGGCTCGGTGCCCAGTCAGACGATAGTTATAGCGCGAGAACAAAACGACGACACAGAGACATGAAGGACACGAAAGACACGAGCGCTCGTGTCTTTCGTGTCCTTCTTGTCTCTGTGTTGTCGTTTTGTTCTCGCGCTATAACTATCGTCATGCCATACCAACTAGCCCAAGCTGCCACACTTCAAAGCCCAGTCAGAGTTCGCGTCGTCCAGTACACAATCGTGGGTATAGTCCTATGAAATAAGACAACTTGACATATGCAGTGCTGTTAAACCTCACCTAACAACACGAGACGCGGTGAATCGAGGGCAAAAGGTCGTCTGTAGACCACTGAGAATTTAGGTAGGATTCTGGAGAAGCGACGCCATCGCGTCAGTAAGCGTGGTAAACCTGCACATAACTCGAAAATACCTTTACCTGTGATGCAGTAATGACTGCAGACACGGATGTATTTCTCTCCAGGTTCTGTCGCTTAATGTGCGCCAGCCGAGAGATACGGCGCTTTTCGGATAACATCCTTGTGCGCTCGCACATCTGTAATATACGCGGGAAAAAAACATTCTAACG